AAGTTCAGCATATTTTAGAAAAAGATACATACATGTTGTAGAATAGAAATAAAATTGCATACAGATAATGATCCAATGATATATATATATATATACATATATATATATATATATATATATATTTTTTTTTAATACAATGTTAAACAAAAATCTGCACACCAGTCAAGCCATAAGACTTTTTCCCACAGAAATCCCAAATCTGCAGTGATGTTACAACCGCAAAGGATTCTCTGTGGGTATATGCAAATTAGTTTAACAAAGAATGATTCTTTGTTAAATTAATTTGCATATGCCCACCCAGAATTCTTTGCGGTTGTAACATCACTGCAGATTTGGGATTTCTGTGGGAAAAAGTCTTATGGCTTGACTGGTGTGCAGATTTTTGTTTAACATTGTATTAACTATCCACAGACTTCAGGTGGAAGGGGTTTTCAATCATGATTTTTCCCCACCATAACATTGTGTGTGTGTGTATGTATGTATATATATATATACACACACATATATATATATATATATATATATATATATATACATATATACACACATATACATACACACACACACACACACTTCATATTACTATGTCATCACCATCTGGCTGTAGATTCTACATATTGCAAGTTTTCAGATGGAAAAAAATGCTTTGCAAAGTATCCTTTCCTCTAATTTTAATGGAAGCCCCAATTTCTCCTTCATGTTTACAATGTATTGTGTGTATCTCCATGATACACTCCCTACTTTATCCCATGACATTTCCCTTGCTTATCTTATAAAGCTACAATGATAATTCTCCCCCAAGCTTGTGTTTCATGATTTGTATAAAGGGCTGATCCACTCTACTTAGATGTTGGACACAGCAAATATAGTATTCATGAAGTTTATCAAAATAGCTTTATTAGTCACTGTGATAATATGTGGGCAAGTTACCAGCAGCTAACCCTAAATAAAGTTTAAGAGATCCTCCTTAAAGGACCACTCTAGGCACCCAGACCACTTCAGCTTAATGAAGTGGTCTGGGTGCCAGGTCCTTCTAGGGTTAACCCATTTTTTTATAAACATAGCAGTTTCAGAGAAACTGCTATGTTTATGAATGGGTTAAGCCTTCCCCCTGTTTCCTCTAGTGGCTGTCTCATTGACAGCCACTAGAGGCGCTTGCGTGCTTCTCACTGTGATTTTCAGTGCTTTCCTATGCGATGGGCTGAATGCGCGCGCAGCGCTTGCCGCGCGTGCGCATTCAGCCCAGGAGGAGGAACGGAGGAGGAGAGGAAGCAGACAGCTCCCCGCCCAGCGCTGGAAAAAGGTAAGTTTTTAACCCTTTCCTCCTTCCAGAGCCGGGCAGGAGGGGGTCCCTGAGGGTGGGGGCACCCTCGGGGCACTATAGTGCCAGGAAAACGAGTATGTTTTCCTGGCACTATAGTGGTCCTTTAATGTAGGCATTAAAAGCAGACTCAAAAAAGGATATGCTTACTATATGATACACTAGAAAAACACACCCTCAGAGAAGTGTACCTCACACACACACTATAAAGAATAAACACAAGGACGTATATATAAAAACCCAAAGGTGATATATACAAATAGAGGGTGGTTGAGAACAATACAACCTGAATATGGCTGAAAATGAACGTGGAATCTATAAAATAGCAAAATACAAAATATAGTGAAGTAAGTTAGGCAAAATTGGATTTGCACGTGGTAGAAAACTTACAAGAAGGGAGTAGTAATCACGCCTGTCATCCTGTCATCCTGTCATCCTGTCAGGGGTACTTTCCACATTGGAGACCGAATATATATGGCGAGGACTGACAATATCACTTTTTCTTCAGCTCAGGAATAAAATATCCCTTTTTCCTTCAGCTCAGGAACAAAAGAAAAAATATAGATAGTGCAGATTGTATAAAAATAACAAAATTTATTCCAAATATTGCACTTACAAGAAATCAGAAGTAAGACAGCATATCTCCATAATGAAGTAATGGCCGGGTCTCCAGGTGAAAGTAGAGAGAGATCCCAAAATGGAGGTACACAAAATTAAAAAAAATATAAAATAAAATAAATAAAAATAACAAATGGACTATAATAACAGCTGTATATTAGCATAAAAAGTCCAAAAGTAGTATCCAACGCGTTTCGTCACTATGGTGACTTCCTCAGGGATATAGATGTGTTGTAATCTTCATGGTTTATATATCATGCCAATTTTCAAATTCGCGGGGAAATTCACATGTTACTTCCGGTTTTCGGCCCTTAGACTTCCTGCGTTCCACCTTGGAACGCATAGCGTCACTTCCGGTTTCCGGTCTCATCCAATCAAGTGGGCTTCTTGCGTTCCACCTTGGAACGCATGACATCACTTCCGGTTTCGGATCTAATCCGATCGAGGGGAACCCTCTTCTGCTAGCACTAATAGAAGTGCAGCAGAAAAGGCTTCCCCTCTGGGGCAACAATCAGTTCCCATTATACAAATATGGGACAGAAAAAGAAGTCTGTATGCCATGAAAATTATAAAGCATTAAAAATCTGCATAAAATAAAAAAGAATAACTATAAAGGACTAAATGGATGTTATATAATATGGACCAGATTAAAACATGTCATATTTAAACATGACATGTAAGACATTATAAAAAAGGAGTAATAGTACAATGTATATTCTGTAATATCAGAATGCATGATTGTTATATACATGAAACCCCAAAAGGGTACAAATTTGAAAAAACAAATATATAATATCATTGTAGCCCAATCCAATGTACAATGGGAACAGATGTACAAATATTAATAATAACTGAACATATATCAAAGATAGTATATATATATATATAGTCTACAAAATATATATAATTTTTTTTTTTTTTTTTTCGCATAATATAGCACTCTCAAATACAATAATTAAATAAATACAATTAGATAATATGCAAATATAAAGTGTAATGAGTTCAACATCCATCTATAAGATAGAGATAAGCATTAATATCCATATAGTACATATAATACAATATATCCAGATGTGGAACTTATATAGGTAAATATAGACAAATTTCAAACTACTATCAATAAGACCAGGATATAGAAAAGAGAAAAAGAAATTTTGGAAGGAGGATAATTATTGGATTAATTTGTATATCATTAAATTAGACCAGTTAAATCAATATCTTGATTTAAACCGGTTTTAAGTGTTCTTAAATTGTATATCCATTCTGCTTCTTTTTTAATTAGCTCTTGCATTCTGTTACCTCCCCTCCAGTGTACATCTATCCTATCGATTCCAAAGGCACGAAAGGTGGACCATTCAAAAGAACTACATGTGTTACAGTGTCTAGGTACACTGTGATCCATTTTTTTTGTTTCTTATATTAAGGAAATGTTCTCTGAACCTAATATGTAGTTGACGGGTAGTCCTACCTACATATTGTGCCCCACATCCACATTGGAGCAGATATATGGCATATGTAGTGGTACAATGTAAAAAAATTTTAATTTGATATGTTTTTTGGGTGTATGTGCCTTTGAAATCGACAATCTTTTTGTCTAAATTTATACATGTGGAACACTTTCCACATTTATGGAAACCTGGAGTTTTTGATGATTCCAAAAAATGTTTCTTTGGTTTATTAGTATATAAAAGGCTGGGGGCCAGTTGAGATTTTAAATTATCGGCTTTCTTATATATGACCAGGGGTTTGTTTGGTAAAACCTGGCCTAGCACTTCGTCCTGTTTAAGGATTGCCCAATGTTTTTTTTAAATATTTTCGATCTTTTTTGCATGTGTGTTGTATTTTGTTGTGAATGCAAATTCAAACTTTCCTTTATTGTGATTCCCTTTTTGTCTATCTATTAGAAATTCAGATCGATTCTTTGTTTTGATATTCTGTATCTCCAGATCAATTCGTTTCTTATTATATCCCTTCTCCACATATCTATTTTGTATGATTCGAGATTGCTCTTCAAAAGAATGTGTAGTAGAGCAATTTCTTCTCATACGGATTATTTGTCCCTTGGGGATATTGTCCAACCATAGTGGATGGTGTAAACTATTGTTTTTAATTGCAGTATTGCAGTCGTTTTTTTTTAAAAATGTCTTAGTTCTTAATGTGTTTTCCTCGACATATATAGTCAAGTCTAGAAAATCTATTGATTCGTGATGTATTGAAGAAGTAAATTTTAGATTATAATCATTTTGATTGATGTCCTCAATAAAATCCGTAAGGCTGGTATGATTGCCTTCCCAAATAATAAGCACATCATCTATGTAGCGTCGCCATAGGACAAGGTTCCCCCCAAGGTGGGATCCCAAGGTGACATGTTGCGACTCCCAATGGGCCACATAAAGGTTGGCAAAACTTGGGGCGAACCTCGTCCCCATGGCGACACCACATAGCTGTAAAAAGAAGACTGAATCAAACCAAAAAAAAAATTTTTTGTCAATACAAACTGAATACACAAAACCAAAAAATCTATTTGTTGTATGCATAGACCATTCTGTTGGGTCAAAGTATCTTTAATAACTTCCAATCCCTTAGAGTGAGGTATGTTTGAATATAGGGAGGTAACATCAATTGTAGCCAGTAAATAGGAGGACTTCCATTCGAAGGTCTGTAGATCTTGTAAGAGATGCTTAGTATCTCTTATATAAGAGGGACAGAAAGGTACAAATGGTTTTAAGAAGGCGTCTACATATTCCGAAAGATTGCAAGTGAGGGAGTTAATCCCACTGATGATAGGTCGACCTGGGGGGGAGGTAAGGCACTTGTGGATTTTGGGTAAAAAATAAAAAATGGCTGTTTTACAGAAAGGGTTAAACATAAACTTAA